CAGACGGATGGTAGTGTACACCAACCACCAGGGGCAGTGTAAGCTCTAGTCATCTTTGCTATCTTAATGACTACTCCTCTGGAGTAGGGACAGAATTCTGTGTCACAAGGCTGTTCACATTCCGGCGCAACCAATCGGATTGCGTATGACCTGTCCAGGTTCGCTCCTACCACAAGAGAATGGCTCTGTTATTGCGAAAACACATGATGCAGACAATTTTTCGTTAACGAAAACAAGAGTGGACAAAAATGTTAATGAGTGGATGAATCCACATTGAAGACATTTCTGATTTGTGGCTGTAATCCTTCATTCAAAATATAAAGTATCCACAGCCGCTTGTTATCCTGGTCTGGTTGTGCCCACCACCGGATGCGCTGTGCACACATTGAACAGAGCACAGGTTGTTTAAACTCCCCAAGTAACATACATTTTTGGGGATCATGACAGCAGCATCAACAAAAAGGCTTTTTGGTGGGAAACGCCGAAATAATATCTGCTGCTAACACACGCAAGCTAATAAACCAGACTACAACAAACGTTTGCTAATAATGTTAGCAGCCTATTTTGGCCTAGAGTTGTGTGCAAAACATAAAGCTTGCTATGAATTCATAAACAATCAGGTGCCAATCATAAACAATCAGATTGTGGCTGTTTTTTCCACCTAGTTTGCGGTTTCAGGGAATTTTTTCATTTTATCTTCATTAACTTCAATTGCCATATTTTATTCATGCTTTTCATTTAAAATGAATGAATTTTATGCAAACCAGAAAAAGTTGGAACTTGTGTATTACATTTAAAACTTCCATATGGACTAGTAAGCTTGAACAACTTAAGTGTCTAATTTATTTTTGAAAACAAAAAACAGTAATCTATTAATTAAAAATGTATGCATTGCATATTACTGAGTGGTCATTAAAATGATTGCAAATTGAAATATTTTTTTCCCTTTTCGGGTTGAAGGAAATGTTTCAAAGGTGGGTTTATAAACTTATTGTATAGTCTATAGCTTTGTGATTGGCCGGTTTGGTAGAAGAGCATTTCTAGAGTGACGTCAGACATATCAGAGCGTCTCAAGACCAGGTAGATTGAAGAGATTCAATTATCTATGAACCATGGAATTGTGATCGAAGGTCAAGCTCAGTGAAAATGGCAATCTGGCACTGTCAGCGTGATCGGAGCATAAGAAATGGCTCTGCAGCGCCCCCTTGTCAGTTCAACCAACAGTCATGAAAATCAGTACAAAAATGTGTTACACCTATGTAATATGTATCAAACAAAAATCTCTGGGAGGTTTTCGCCAAATCGTACAGGAAGTCCGCCATCTTGAAAAAAATACCGCCATTTTGGAAAAAACATCACCTTGCTGTTTAACAAACTCCTTCTAGGCAAAATGTCCGGTCCAGCTGAAATTTGGAGTGTTTACTAAGAAAGCACTAGAGGCAAAACTTTATCAAAAGCGCAGCAGTACGTCGCATGGTCTTCTGGTGTCACCCCCCAAAAAGGTATCAAAAATGGACATATTTTTTACTATATCTCCGTTAGTGTTTATCCAAATGTCCACAAAAATAGCCTGGCATAAGGAGCCTCGTAGGCTGAATAAAAGGATAGGCAGCATTGTAACTGCGCTCTAAAACTGAGCTCTACAGCGCCCCCTTAAATGTGCCAGAATCATCGTTTCAGCTGTTTTGACCCCCTAAACATGATATAAACCCATGCACATTTTGCCCAAAGGTCAGGCTCAATAATGATGGTAATCTGACATTTGCTGCGACCGCACCTTGAACAGCAGCTATGCAGTGCTCCCTTAAATGCAAAAAAAAGCTCTTCTCGCATTTTAAGGAACTCCTCTCAGGAAAAGTGCCAGATCGAGCTGAAAATTGGCGTGGTGGCTCTTAAAGCATAAGGGACCAAAAGTTATCAAAAACGCAGAAGATCGGCAGACGGTGTTGTTGTGGCGCCATTACGAATTTGACCCTTGTAAAATGTATGTGGATAAATGTACTTGTTGCTATACCTCTCATATACATAATTGATATGCTTATGTGATGATACACTCATAGCGCCTCCTGCTGGCTGTATGAATAGCAAGGTAAATCAATGTATTTGGCTGCATCTCCTCATACTTCACTCAAAGTACATGAAAACAATGTAGCATCATGAGCCAGTGATTCTGAACAGATTAACAGCCTTATGGGATGACACTGTTTTAGCGCCACCTGGTGGCTTTATGATTTGCATTTTTGGTGTACTTGTACGGCCTGTACAAAATAGCTCTTGACAAAAACAAGTGAACAAACAATAAAGGTCAGGGGGCGATGGCTTTGGCTCCCAAGACGCATCGTGCGAGGGCCCGCCCATCGCTGCTTGCAGCTGTAATTATGTTTAGTTTTTTTTTTAACTTATAAAAATAAGGTGGAAAAAGGGAATAATTTGATTTGAGTTCTGACCTTCTTCCTTACATCACAGAGGCTTGCCCCTAATATTAACCTATCGCCATGGATGGGATTGAAACTTAACTTATTTATTTTGATGGATGATGCATTTCATTAATAAGATACAGTTTAAGATGTTTGTTTATGATCCAAAAAGTCGTGCATGCTTTCGATTTCTAAAATGTATGTAGATTCATTTAAGCAGAGATTCTGAGATTCATTAGACCCTTCTCAATGAATCAGTATGAAAAGTTGGTTTTCAGATCGAGCAAACCACAAATGAGAAGCGATAAATCACTACATGATAAACAGCTCCAATTAATGCAGATTTTTGATTCTCTTACAACATTAGAGCCACAGATGGCTGTTTAGAGCAATTATCACCTAATGTGGATATTAAAACCAATCCTTTGTTAAACTGACAGGAAGATGTCAGTTTCCTGTGGAAAACTCTTTCATACCCTGCCATTGTCTGAACGTCTTTACAGGGAGTCATTGAATTATCATCGCCTGAAATTCATTAAATCATTTGGAAATATAGCATTTGGGATGATTATAATGTTGTCAGGCTGTAATAGATTGTTCTGTTTGACTTGTGTGGGTGTTATCACATGTGTGCAAACAAGTCATAATATGATTAACAGGGGAGATCATAGCTCTTGCTTTCCATTGAAATAAATATGTTAATGCCATATTAGTCGATTAATCACGCAAGCTTCATCTACTAGTCAGTCAGCTGAACGGGAGAAGAGAAAGGCAATAATGTGCTTTCCAGCTCTGTTTCACAACCCCATGAGCTTCCATCGTGGATTAGCGACCCACTGCAGTTATTAATAATCTGTTTTAGTATTCATTTCATTGACATTTATCTGGCTTCAAACACTGCTGTTAAAGCTTGAGATGCAGCTTTCAAGAAAGATGAACGCATCAGACTACTACAACTTCATAATAAAAAAGATACACTTTCAAAACATTTAGGGCTATTTAATCCTTTAATGATCATGCACTTACTGGAAGCAAACCAGAATGAAGTAAATCCCCTGAAAGTCTGTAGCTGCACTTCAATCCGCCTAGCTTTACGTGCATTTAGGAATATTGATAAAAAACCTATATTATGAAAATGAACATTGCCCAAGATCTGAAATGTGTTGATCATTCTAAAATTCCTTAACCAAAGACTGTCATCAAAGTGGTTCGGGATCATCACCTCCCAGAACCGTCTCGATCGGCTGTGTTCGCGAAGAGCAGCCTGCTGCCTCCACAATCAAGATGACACGACTGCATGTCTATGTGTTCCAAGACGCAAGTAAGTTACTACTATACATGAAAATACTACTATATAGCACAGAAATTTACTTTTTCTGTGGATATTGGGCGGCAGGTTATCAGGAAAGTTCTCTTGGACTCGATGAATGGAAACGGTGCGTTATTTGCAATCATTTTATACAATATCCCAGTTTTGCGCATTATTTAATTTGCATCTTTGGATGGCCACTTTGTCTGCTTTGAGAATGTAAAAAAAAAAAAAACATTTTAAAAACTCATAAGCTCAGTTTAATGTGCTTGCAATTGAGCGAGAACATTCCTTAGGTTCTCGACACAAACGTCACCAGCAGGGTGCTTCATGGACGCCAGCTTCCAGGCCTCTTCGAAGGTCTCTTCAGCTAAATCAAGACCCACTTTGTGGAAAATCTGTAGCATCTATAAAATGCATTCATTCAGCAGTTATGATAATGACACTTAACAATGCATTTAAATTAAAACTGACCTCATCTTTACTTCGAGGACTGAAGAGCTCTTCTTCGTGGACTCCATAGAGGGAAAGTAGAGGAGGATGCAACAAGTCATGCACTGTTGATTCATCTCCGTAATTTGTCCTGTCTCCGAAAGCTTTAATACGAGGAGCAGGTAAATCTGTCCGAACTGAGGGGACTCCATACGTGTGATAATCTATTCATCAGAAACAAACAGAAAGAAACTGTGATAACTGGTCTTGTGTATCCTGCTTCTATTGGCACACTTTTGAAGGCTTGTTCACTTTGTTTTGAAGCTGTTAGTTTCAGATCAGCTCCATTTGTCTCTTTGGAACCTTATCTAAATTGGTGACACAAAACTATTGGTCCTATTTTTGACTGGCAAGGGTATAACCATCACATATAAAGAACTGCAAATCAATCAATGGAAAATGGTCACTAGCCATGTTTTCATCCAAACATGGCGGCAAACTGGGGAAACAGGAAAGAAGAAGAGCAGGAAGATGACAACAGTGAAGAAATCAAAGAACACATAGAAATATTCATAAATGTCAAGCGGTTTATACTGTTGGTGGTAGATCAAGGTAAAAATGTGGAGGAAGACAGGATTTGTGGCACTCAATTGTGAGCGCCACCAAGCGGCTCTTTACGTCTAAAAAGGAAACCCAATACTCTAAAACTCTGTTCGTTGGCACCACTCGTTTCCCGTGATGTCCCGTTGGCACCAATGACTTTCAATCGAATTGTGTCTTTGCACAAAACTTTGCAGCGAAATTTGGGTTGGTGTGTATAGGCCTTAAGGGATTTAAACACAGCTTTCCTGTGGCTCAGTTAGTAGAGCATTGCACTATCTATGCAAAGGTTGCGGGTTCAAATCCCAGGGAAAGCAAGAACTGACAAAAATTTGGTCCTTCTTTCAAAATGTATAAAAGCGTCTGCTAAATCCATAAATGTAAAATTGACTAGCTTTATTGACAAAGTTTAAAAGCCAATGCACAGCAACCTGAATTCTCGAAGTTCCGTGTGATAATGCACTAGATCAAACGCAATGGGTGCCAACGGGACGTCGTACATCAGCGAATGTGTGGTGCCAACAACAAAAAAAAGATTCAGAGTGCAATATTTCCGCAAGGAGAACGACCAATGAAAGTTGGCTCTTTTGATGACGTGAGTAGAACGTAAAAGAGCCGCTCTGTGGTGCTGTGACAGAATTTTAATCATACTTCATCTTAATATCAATGATAATAATGTTAGCCAGTTTTGCTAAAAATACGAGGTGCTAGCATGTAGCTGCGACTCAACAGGCGCCCCTCGGGGGCTTGAGGTGAATATATGCTTTTTTGTCCCATCCGATCAATGCATAAATTAACCTGTTTTCTTTCTGTTCCTGCCTCTCAAGTCTTCAATATTAGAAGGATTGTGTATTTTCAAAAACAGCGCTCATCCCACATTTTCATAGTGACTTCCTCTCTTTTCTCCACATTTTTGTCAAACAGCTCCCTGTGATCATCCACCAATAGAATAAACTGCTCAACAACCAGCATTCTTTCTATGTGTTCTTTGATTTCTTCTCCATCATCATCTTCTCTGTTATCATTCTGCTCTTTTTTTTCTCACTGTGGCATGGAGAGCATTGGTTGTCCCGACACAGGCGAAGAGCACCCTGCTGAGAAGCCATCAGGAAATAGGTGTGAATCTATTCGGATCGGTGTGTAGTGGCCTTAATTCACTAAAAAGGATATCTCTAAGAATAGCATAAGCCTTGGATTAAAAAGGCCTCAACACACCCACAGCCGACCCAACACTGATGTTGACCAACTCCAAGCATATAAACAAATTGAACCTTCCATCCAAGGTTCTTAAAAGTAAGAGAAACAAATTTTTTTTGAGTGGAGGCTTTTAGAGACACTCACGGGAAGTAGACGGTCGCCCCACAACAGCATTGATAACCGACGCAGAGGTGTCAAAGTGGTTCTGCGAGGTTTTCCATCTGGACAGGGTTTTTGGAGTCTTTTTGATGCTGCCCACTTCAAGCGGCTCCAGATCTTCAGCACAGAGAAGAGGGCTTCCTGTACTGATTTCCAGGAGGTCTGTTCTTTGCATGCTAGCTGGAGCTGTCTGAATCCTGCGCCCTGCAAAGTACAAGCATCTAAATAACAATGGGTTCCTTTCTTTCACACTTATATTAATATATTTGTTCTGTTTTCAGATTTGTAGTGAGAAGACAAAAATCACAATAATAAACACTATTTGGGTCACTGATGTTTTGGGGAAGTTTGAGCTTCAAAGGCACAGGAAACTTAGTCAGAAGTGATTTAAAATGAATGCAGTGTGTTCTCAAAGGTTCCTGGAGGACACTTTCCCCTCATTAGCCTGAAAGCTGTCATGGGACATTCTGAAAGCTGTCATACCAGATATTCCAACATGAGGCCAAGTTCATTGTCATTGGTTATACCAGAACAAAGTGAAGGTTCTGGAGTGGATCTCAGTCTCCTGACATCAGTATTAGTGAACCCCTCTTTTGGGGGGAACTCAAACGTGGAGTTCATGCTAAACAGGCAAAGTATTTACAAGAGTTGGAGGCTTTTTGCCAAGAACAGAGAGAAGATAAAGAACCTCATCAACAACTACCCCAAGAGACCTCAGACTGGGGAATACAATAGTTTAAAAGCTTTTGATCAGGGTCACTTGGAAAGTTTCTGTTGTTATTATGACTTAAAAAGAATAAGGTTCCTTGCTCTAATTTGCTCACTGGTAAATCTATACATCTTTTTAAAAGTGTGCTTTGTGAATAACAGCTAAAGTCATATCCACATGAAAACACGTGTCTATTAAAAAAAAATTGTCAGCACGAAAACTCAAAAACCCCATAAAAAGCTGTAAAGACTCTACCAGGCCAACAGGTGGCAGTCAATTGCAATGATGACGTGCAATTTTTTAAATGAGTATTCAGAATTTTGTTCACACCTTGGCCGTCATTTTCAAAAATGTACAGCTCCATGAAAACGATGCTGCGTTTATGTGTGGACAAATGTGTGCACAGGGCCTACATTTACCTTCTATGAGAATTTTCTCCTCTTTCCTGTTTATAGGCATTTTATCTTTCCAGTTTAGAAAGTTGGAAAACTCCAGGAAGTTGATCTGCTCGTCTTTATCAGCATCACAATAGTTGATAAGGTCATCAAGCAGCGTTTCACTGACAGTCAGGTTAAACTCATGACAAACAGCTTTCAGATCCTCCTTATCGATGTTCCCTTGACATTTCTGAACAGAAAACAGCAACATCAAAACTAGACTGTAATGGTAACGCAGACAAAAGCTAATGTGATCTCTTCAGGTAAAATCTACTGCATGCTCAGTATTTTATGCTTCAGTTTAATTCAGCTATTGAATAAGTTTAGATGTGTATTTTAAAATAATCCTCTTGAAACTTTAATGAGGCTTATCACAAGGCTAGACTCATAGCTGCTTGAAGTATAGTACAAACTCCTTCTGCAATATGATTTTTAACCAATTATCTTCATTAAAGGGTCACGACACTTAATAATAGAATTATTGCGTCTTTGTGGATTTAGAAAAACCGTATGGCAGGGTGCCGAGAGAGGAGCTTTAGTCCTTTATGAGGATGTCAGGAGTGGCAGAGAAGTACGTCAGAGTAGTTCAGGATATGTATGAGAAGAGTATGACAGCAGTGAGATGCGCTGTAGGTCAGACAGAGGTGTTCAAGGTTGAGGTGGGGCTACATCAAGGATCGGCTTTGAGTCCCTTCTTATTTGCTATGGTGATGGACAGGTTGACAGATGAGGTCTGTTGAGGTCTGTACTGAGGACAGAGTTAGGTGGAAACGGATGATTCGCTGTGGGATCCCTAAACTGGGAACAGCCGAAAGTAAATGAAGAAGATTTAAAATACAGTTTGCATCTCAACATAACACAATGAGAGATGTCAGGACGTCTTAGACCTCATTGCTGGTTATAGGTTCTGAATAGATAGCGTTGCATGAAACAGAGACAAAAACAGTTCTGCACCTTGTCATAAAATTGGAATGCTTCTAATAATGAGTTGAACTTCTGGTAGTTGTACATCTTCAGTTTGTGCTGAATAGCACTAAGTAGTGCTCTCTGTCTGTCCTTCCCTTTCACATATTCACCAGGAGGAGTTTGCTGCAGGAGGTCTACCACGCCTGAGGAGAAATGGGAAGAATAAGGAGATGGTTGGAGTTCGTACTTCCCAAATTTTGCATTGATTATGAATCTTGAGCTCATCGTGAGGGGTTAATCGCTTCTCGTGACCTCATCTATACTGCAAAATACACGATTAGCGCGTAAGAAAAAAAATAATAATCATACAGTGAATGAGCAGAGCCATGCTGTTAAGGGCATCACTTCCCCAAGATGGTAAAATGGGGGAGGAAAATAAACTCAGGTGCGCACACACACAGACAGACGCTAGAATCAACTCTTATTTTATTGAAAATGAAATTAAACATAAATACCTGTGGTGGGGCAGAAACCTAACCTAAAATAAACTAACTTACAAAAAAAAAACAAAAAAAAAACATTGACACAAAAGCAATATCAAATTGCTAACCAGCCAGCTGCTCTGGGGAACTTGAACAAGAGTTAAAAAAAGAAAGAAAATAAAAGACCAAATTAGGAACAAGCATGAGTTTACCACAACAAGAAAGATCACATGCACTTCACCAGGCATTTCAAATAATGAACCCACACAGGGAAGAGGGAGCAGGAGCCTTAAGAAGGGAGCGGGTTAACGAGGGAGTGAAGAACATGACAAGAGGAGCAGGTTGATCACATGAGGGCTAATTAGCTGACACAGAAGGAAGACACACATGCACACGCACACACACACACATACACAGGAAAAGTGGCCAGAATAAAAGGTACAAGAGAGCAGACAGAAAGGGCCCAGAACAGAAGAAAAGGAACAAAATAAAAGGAGGGCAAACCCAACACATGCCATAACAAAAATTCAGCAGTGGTGGGCAGTAACGGAGTGAATGTATTTAGTTACTGTACTTTTAACATAACTTTTCAAGTATTTTAATTTGGGGAGACTTTTTAGCTTTAAGTCAAATGTCTTACTTTTACTTAACTATGTTTTGCGAAATCAGTTGTTCCTTTTTACTTATAAGTGGTCAAAAACACGTTATTGCCTTGCGATGAACTGGCGACTTGCCCAGTGTGTACCCCCGCCTCTCGCCCAATGTGTGTTGGAGATAGACACCCAAAAAAGGGAATAAGCGGGTTGGAAAATGAATGAAAAAACACATTATTGGTGAAGCATGCGCGAGCAACCAATCAGGGACAGCGCACTCTGTTTTGAATTGTTTGTGTAATCACTTGGTGGAATCTACTAAGAGCAAATGCAGTTCAGTGTCGGTTCAGCAGCAGCGGTTTATGAATTGCCTGTGACTTAATGAATGATGGAAGAAACTCCCGAAAACTAGTTTCTGTTACGGAAAACTGATATGAGCAGATTATATTTACACCCAGAGACATTTAGGTACAATATAATAAATAGTTTATTAGTTTAGATATTAAAAAGGTTTTAAGTAAACTTGAACTTGCATCCATGTTAAAAATAAACCTTAAATTGAAAAGGCCTGCTCTGAAATCCTGTATTTTCATTTGGTTCTAAAGGAAATTTGGATTCAAGCTTTTGAGCTCATGACCATTTATAGATTGTAAATTTATATTGTTTAAGCAAGAGTCTAGACAAAAATGATAATGGTATATTATAGTCATAATAAATCATTGTTCTTTAAATACTTAGGTACATTTTTAAGACAAATACCGAGTGATATTTTATCTAGTGTATCTTTACTTTAACTCAAGTATTATATTTGGTTTGTTAACTTTATCCACCACT